TCACTACTTCTGCTGTTTCAGGGCCCGCATATGCTGCGTCTGTCCATGCATCACCTAGAATGCAAACGACAAACGAGTATACTGCTTATAATAGAAGGCCTCAAACGCCCGACCAAGGAAGACCGTTTGACGCGAGAGATCATAGGGGTAACGCGGCTGGATCACCGCCGCAGGGCATGTATGGAACTCCCGAGCTATCTCGATATAATACTCCGCAAGCGTACCCACCTCGTGGTCCGCCAATGCCACCGGCTGAAGAAAGGAGAGAACAGCAGGGACGAATTCCTGCCGCCAATGTGCCTCCTAGGCCAAGTAGCCAACCCAGATCCTATCACGGAATCCCCCCAAGACCTGTAGATATAGGAGGAAGAGGTCCGCCACCTGGAGATCCTGTCTATGCTCGGCGGGAAGAGGCGCGACCACCTGGACCGGCGGAGTATAACCCAGAGCGGCCACCCCGAACCGTGCCCTATGAAGATCAGCGTCGTTTCGTTTCGGAAAGAGAAATGAGGGAGCAGATGCACAGAGAGGCCGAGTTTCGGGAAAGAGAGCGAAGAGATAGGGAGAGGATGCATTACGAAGAACACCAGCGCACATTCATGAATGATAGAGAACGCATCGAGAGGGAGAGGGAAAGGGAGCGCGAAATAGAGAGGGAGAGAGAAAGAGAAATAGGAAGAGAGCGTGATAGGGAAAGAGAAAGAGATATGGAAATGCGCGAAAGGGCTAGAAGGGAAAGGACCACATCGGATCCGAGTCATCCCCACGGCCAACATCCTGGAGAACTCGGTCCTCAGGTACTTTCGCGCCAGCCTCCTTATGGAAGACCCGATCCCCGAGATCCAGCGGCCTGGCAGCGGCCTGGTTATGATCAACCACCAAGAGATGCGTACGGTCAAGCATATCCCGGCCCGCGGTCAGGCGAATTTCCTTCGACTACAGCAGCAACATACGGAACGCATCCCGCATATGCGCAGGCTCCTCCTCACGAACGCTTTCCAACGACTGGGCCGCCTCCCCATGCAATACCTGTCACACAACCAGGCCCACAACCTAACCATCCGTTCGAGTCTCCTGACAGACATCGGTTTGTTCAGGCACACCCTCAGCAGCAGCCACCTCCAGCAGCGGCTCATCGAAGCCGACCCGCCGAAGAAGGACCACCTCCCCCTTCAGTTGCGTATAATGGCGGACCTGGTTCAGCTGCGTTCGAAGCAGGTCGACCACCACCACGTGCTATAGACGAAGGTCCACCCCCACCTGGGCATCAGAGAAGTTTCCTGGGCATCCAGGAGATCAACCGCAAAGGCCGCGTATCTCCGCTGCCGCAGGCGGTTCAGGGAGCGCAGCCACAGTTGCAAGGCCCCGCCGGCGAGCCTGGGATCAAGAGTGAATTCGGCCGCATGTTCTCCGGCATAGGAAGCGGTGTGCGCGGTATCGGTGTCTCTAGCCCAGTGCCACCCGGCATGCAACCCCAATTCTCCAACGCGGGTCCTGCGCGACGCGATGATGAGCATCCCAGTCATGAGCTACTTGCGGACGCCCCTGCGAAGACGGGTGCGAGGGGAAAGCGAAGAAAGGCCAAGGATGAGGACGGCAAGGGTGATGAAGATAGTACTGGTAGAATCACACCGGTCGGCCGGGCCAAGCGTCCCAAGACTCATGCTCATCACCACCATCACCAGTAAGTAGCAACTCCTATCTTCCACGCACTTCGGCCGATATTCATTGTAATCCTTTTTTTAGTCATCATCATCACCATCATCACGGCCCGGAAAGAGCCACATCGCCCCTTCAAGCAGCCAATGGGCAAATCAAAAACATCAAATCTAGTACACCGATACCATCACCAACGCGTAAAGATTTTACAGCTCTCACTCATCATCACCCACCTCCTAGGTCAGTCGGAGCCCCGTCTTCGAAGCCAGCGGCCCCCGGTTCGACCATAATCCCAAAGCCGAAGCACAAGATCTCTTCTCAAGCTGTCCTAGATAGCGTTGCGGATCGCCCACGGAAACACCTCGGTGATGTCGTGTATCAAGTGGTTTTGAAACCCAGCAAATTGGATTCGTCACATTCCAAATTCGGTTACTCGTCTAATCCACGCCCGCTCCCCATGGACATAATCAAAGGGAACGAGAACTCAACCTTGACTGTCAAGATTCCCCGTGTGCATCTGAGCCCGTCCGCTCGCGAGGAAATCACGTCTCGGCGGGCGGTCTGGGGCACGGACGTCTATACAGACGACTCTGATGTTGTTGCGGCGTGTATTCATGCTGGCTGGATTCGAGGTGAATGGGGCGACGACGTGGATGTCGATCTGCTAGATCTGTACAAGCCCTCGAACTCGAAGAAGCAGCGCTCAGTGCCTGCCGAGCAACACCTCGAGGTCTTGACGTCGCCGCCAGCCTCAGGTCCCGTCCACGTACCCGCGGACCGCGATTTGCACGTGACGCTCCTCGTCTTACCTGCGCTCGAGAAGTATAGTAGTTCCACGCGCTTTGGTATCCAGAGCCGCGAATTCGGTGGGACGTACAATGGACGCAAGTCGATCCACGATGGGATTAGCTTCATGATCCAAAGTGTGCGTTGGGTAGACGGTGCGGCTCCGCAGAGCAGGCTTCGGGGCAAGGCGCGTAGGGAACGAATTAGGAAAGCCATGAGCGAAGTCAACCGGAGTCAAGTGGTGGACATTGGCGAAAAAGAAGTCTTAAGCAAAATAACAGCGGCAAGGGATGTCGGGGCTGCCAAGGAGAAGAGTAGTGGAAAGTCGGCCGATAGTAACGAAGAAGGCAATAAGGAGAACCGCCCTGACGCTGCGTCGAATGATACGATTCCTACACCAGATCAGGAAAACCCTAGTACAGACACGAATGTGGATTTAAAAGGCGAGGTTAGGGACAAGAATGGCTCTGCGGAAAATCAGAGCACGAAGATGATAGATGCCATTGCTACCATTGCTGTCGGAGAAGAACTGAAGAGGCTTGGAGCGGATGAGCCTATGAGTGCTTCTACGTAGGAGATGGGCTCTGAAACCGTCGGAATGACGGATAAGAGCGACAGGCAATAGGAGACATATTAACTAACAACTGTCGATACAGGGAATAATAGTTCAAGCTAGAGCTGGAAAGATGTATATTAGAGGGATCTGATTACATCGTTGTTGTTTCCCCCAGATCTCTTGCCTGTTGGTTTTCTGAGATACCTAGGTACCTACCTCTGTGTTGCTCTTTTATTTATTATATTGATCCATTAGCATAGCGCGGAGTTCAGAGCAAAACTATGTGATGACGATATATAAATAATATAGCCACTTCTTAATCACAACTTTCTAAAACGAACGGGATGGCAACTTGGCACATGATGGATATCGTATAGAGAGAGTGAGCATATATGGATTTGCTTTCTAATGGTTGTTTTAACATGTCTTCTGGACTACCACGCCTCTTTATATACATATAGTTCTGGCAAGTGAGTTCGGCTATAGGCACTGCAGTTCCGCAGAGGGCCGTTATAAGGATTTTCGCTCATTCCCACGAAACAGCCAGGCCATAGCCACAATCTAGAAAGAGTGCAGCACCTGCAGTTAGATGCAAGGTTGTGGATTCCTTCATCGACTGTACAGACGCATAGATATGGTTCTTAGTCGGAAAGGGCCAGTTGGAATATCACCAACTCGAATAGTGTATGAGTAGGATATGAGCAAGCAAGGTAATGCCGATGTGTTGCTAATGGCTTGGCTAGACAGACATTGGCCGTCATACTCTCTTTCGCGGTCGCGTCGAAGGTCGATCAGATGGAGGAACCCAGCATGAGCTCACCCTTCATCAGCTCTCTTTGTCGAACTGGGAGTTTCGTAAGAGCTCGAACGCGAAGCACACTCATTCCGCAAACCGACCAGCACCATACAAATGCGGACTTCGGAAACAAGATATAACTGCTATAACTAGCGCCGTAAACCCGAATCAAGCCTCAAAAGTCGGTAACCCGCCCATTAAAGCTATAGTCGCCGCTGGGGCCCCAGCGGAGGGGTTCGTTCTTCGGCCCGCCGACCTCTCCGGTCTTGGGATTGACATCACCCTCAAACTCGGGCGGCGCGCCTTTCCGCAAGGGCACCGACGCGAATTCGTCCCCAATGGCCGGCGCAGCAGATGTTTGTCCGTCTACTGCGGAGGGGCTGCCGGTGCCGGTAACGGTGTTCAGGGGATCGGAGATGGGAGAGCTGAAGTCAGGGGTGGAGGTGGGGTTGAAGCCTTGTTGAGTGTTGGCAGTGCGCTGCAATCGCTCGAATTCGGCCTGCTGGTCGGGAGGGAGGCGCGGCGGGGAAGGCATTGACTGGAAGGGATTGGAGTCGCTTGAGGCGCGGCGCTGATGTTGTACGGAGAGGAACGATGCTATTACTGAGTGGTGTTGCGGGTGTGCCTGTAATCTTGCAAGCCGCATGAAGCGTGTGAGGCGAGTTAAGCGGGATACCATTATGACGATTATGCGGCTTCTTGTGTAAACGATTGCTTGGATAGTAACCTAAAGGTGGTCGGTCCCGTAGAGCGTCGAAGATTCGGTTGGAAGTTCGTTCGATGTGGCGGCGACGAGAATCTCGAATCTCGAATCTCGGGTTGGTAGGTACGTAGAGAGATAAAATCGGAGACGGGCAGAGTTCCAGATGTCGCCCGAGCTTACATCATTGTACCTAACCTAGCAGCCTAGCAGCCTAGGTACAGAGTACGAAACGCTAACGTCCATGGATGCGGGTCGCGGGTTTATCTCGGCACGGAGTATCTTATATTGAACTTTCCTCATTCTCTTAAGGCATCGCTTCTGATTGGCCGGACACTGCAGTCCTAGGTACGTGTACCTATGCAGAATTTTTTTCACTGATTCATGCATGTGCTACATACAGATCGAGCGTGAAATAAACACTCATATTGATTGGGTACCTATGTGTATGTGCGTGTGCGTTACAGAAGTAAAAAGCAAACTACGAGAAAGCAAAAAATTCCCGAGCACAGCAGGGATCGAACCTGCAATCTTCAGAGGACCGGAGACCCTTGAATGGAACCGAAATCTGACGCCTTACCATTAGGCCATGCGCCCTGAGCTTGTTGAGATTCTGATGGCCCTTAATCACGTTTATGTGTGTTTGTTGTTTGTGGGCACGAACTAGACCGTCGGTGGTGGATACATGTACATAGGTGGAAGATGTAGGTGGATACCTAATATACATACATAGTACACTAGCAGACTAGTAGGTGGGATGGTGGGGTGGGAAGGAACGACGAACCCCTCCGGTTATCGCATTGGGGAAAAAATTACATGTGTGTACATACCTACCTATATACCTTGGTACATTAAAATACCGTCCGCGTTGACTCAGACTGCGGCTCCTCCATAAAGAGTCACTTTCCAGCCTCTCGAGTTAACACCTCTGTCTCTTGCTCTTCCATTGACCCAATTGATCCAGTCTGGACACCATGGAGGCTCTCAAACAGACATTCAGGCGCTGCAAGGCGGAAAACCGGGTATGATCTAACCTCTACTTTGCCTTCTTGCGTTGTGCATGCACATTGAGGCAGCCATGGTGGCCATGTAGCCATGCGGCTGTAGCACTATGCTGCTGCCCATTCTCAAACCAGAAGCAGTTTACTGACCGAACCCGCACTTATAGGCTGCCCTAGTGACCTATGTCACCGCAGGCTACCCGAAACCTGAGGATACTCCTGGCATCTTGTTAGGATTGCAAAAAGGTGGTGCCGGTATGTTGTGGCGAATAGACTTGTCTTACCCATCAACAGCAGCAGCAGCAGTAACTAACAAGCCCAAGATGTACTCGAGCTCGGCGTCCCCTTCACAGATCCGATCGCGGACGGGCCTACGATTCAGACAGCGAATACCGTTGCCCTTGCCAATGGCGTCACCATTAAGTCTACCTTGGATATGGTTCGAGAGGCCCGGTCTAAGGGGTTGACTGCCCCGGTTCTGCTGATGGGCTACTATAACCCCCTGCTTAGCTACGGTGAGGATGAGCTGCTGCGGGATTGCAAGGCCGCCGGTGTCAATGGCTTCATTGTCTGCGACCTGCCTCCCGAGGAGGCCGTCTCTTTCCGGAAACTTTGCAGCAAGGGATCGTTGTCCTATGTCCCCCTGATTGCGCCTGCAACATCCGACACCCGCATGCGCCTCTTGTGCGCCTTGGCCGATTCCTTCATCTACGTTGTTTCACGTATGGGTGTGACTGGTGCTCTGGGCACCCTCAACGCCAACCTACCAGATCTCCTCGAACGAGTTAAGAAATACAGTGGCGACAAACCTGCCGCTGTTGGTTTTGGTGTCTCGACGCGCGAACACTTCCAGTCTGTGGCTTCCATTGCTGATGGCGTCGTCATTGGCTCGCAGCTCATTACCATTCTCCAGAAGGCCGAACCGGGCAAGGGCGCCCAAGCCGTCGAGGAGTATTGCGCTTACGTAAGTGGACGTACGACGCAGGAGACGACGCGAGAAGTGGGAGTGGTCGAGGCTATTAGCGCAGCCAAGGAGCCCAGCGGCGAGGACGTGACGGTCAACGGAGTAATTTCCGGGCACGATGATGCCGCCCTGGTTGCCCAGCTTGCAGCCCTCCATGGTAAGATCCCCGAGCGCTTTGGTGAGTTTGGTGGCCAGTACGTCCCCGAGTCTCTCATGGACTGCCTATCCCAGTTAGAGGAAGGCTTCAACGCCATCAAGGACGACCCCAAGTTCTGGGAGGAGTACAGGTCATACTACCCCTGGATGGGACGACCGGGTCAGCTGCATTTGGCCGAACGTCTGACCGAGTATGCCGGCGGTGCCAACATCTGGTTGAAGAGGGAAGACTTGAACCATACCGGATCTCACAAGATCAACAACGCGCTAGGACAACTTCTCCTGGCGAGGCGGCTGGGCAAAACCAAGATTATCGCCGAGACTGGTGCTGGCCAACACGGTGTAGCGACTGCCACGGTTTGCGCCAAGTTCGGCATGGAGTGCACAGTCTTTATGGGTGCCGTAAGTCATTCCATTATCCCCCTCTAGGGCTCCGCAATGACTCACAAATATGCTATAGGAGGATGTCCGACGTCAAGCATTGAATGTCTTCCGAATGCGGTTGCTCGGTGCCAAGGTCATCGCTGTCGAAGCCGGGAGCAGAACTTTGCGCGATGCCGTCAACGAGGCACTCCGTTACTGGGTCGTCCACCTCGACGACACTCACTACATCATCGGCTCTGCCATTGGCCCCCATCCCTTCCCTACTATCGTCAGAACCTTCCAATCCGTCATCGGCAACGAGACAAAGGCCCAGATGCAGGAGAAGCGAGGCAAACTCCCTGACGCCGTTGTAGCTTGCGTTGGTGGAGGCAGCAACGCCGTCGGCATGTTCTACCCCTTTTCAAATGACCCTAGTGTGAAACTGCTAGGTGTCGAAGCCGGTGGCGACGGTGTCAACACAACACGGCACTCGGCCACATTGACGGGAGGTACCAAGGGTGTCCTACACGGCGTGAGGACATACGTGCTGCAAAACGAATTCGGACAGATCTCGGATACGCACTCGGTCTCAGCTGGACTTGACTATCCAGGCGTCGGACCCGAGTTATCAAACTGGAAAGATTCGCAACGGGCCAAGTTCATTGCCGCTACCGATGCCGAAGCCTTCATCGGCTTCAGACTCATGAGCCAACTGGAAGGTATCATCCCCGCGCTCGAGTCAGCTCACGGTATCTACGGGGCTATCGAGCTAGCCAAGACGATGAAGAAGGACGAAGACATAGTCATCTGCCTCAGCGGCAGGGGAGACAAGGATGTGCAGAGCGTTGCCGATGAGCTGCCCAAGCTAGGCCCTCAGATCGGATGGGATTTGCGATTTTAAGGAAGGTCTTGCAGACTTGGGCGCGGACAAGCGCCTTTTGGGAATTTTGGAATTTGGAGTTGGCGTGTGGGATCGAAAAGTGAAAACAATATGATACACGGTATTCAACGGCATATAGAACTGCGTCTAGATGCGTTTGGTACAAATTCATCATACAGTGCAATGCTCACGTGTTTCCTTCATCCTGAGGGCATTGATTTCTTCATAGCTTTAGTCGTGAAGCTTGATGTGAAACTACTCACGGTCTTAATGTCTTCGCATTTTCCTTGGGATTCACCTCTTCCATGAAATGTTCAGCCTCCTTAGCAGCTTCCTTTGCCTCCTCGATGGCCTCAGCATCGCCCTTGATAATCACCTCCTCGCCCTCCCTAACTTCGCCCAAGACAAACTCGTCGCCGCGCTCCAGCATGCTGTCGATTTCGTTCAACATGGCCTCAGACGTAGCTCCTTGGGCGGCTAATTCGCCCGGAAGCGAAGCCTGTCCCTCCTCCTTAGGGGGCAAGCCAAGCGCAGCCCGTTCTCGAGCGAAGCGTTCGCGAATGGCTGGTGTCTGCATGATCTTCCAGCGAAGGGCCCATCCGGCAGGTCCCAGGTCCTTGATCCTCTGGGCTTTGCTTCCGAGGAGGTACTCGTCGATACCGCCCAACAGGTCGATAGTTCGGAGTACACGCGCGGTCAGACGGGTGCGGATGAATGCGTTGAGGGAGGGCGACCACAGGCGCTTGGTATGGCGGTTGGGCAGCCAAGTAGTGCGTGACTTGTTGCCGTGGTCCTCAGCGACCGTGTTTCCGAAGCGGATCTTGGAGCCCGCGAACAGACCCTGGTTGGCTTGCTTGTATGTTCGGAAGCGGCCGTATGGGTACGCGGGGACTTGGTCTGAGGGCACGGTCAGGTGCGAAGGTTTCTGTCTGGACAGGGGCATGGCGGTGCTGAAGGGCCGTATTATGTTCTGAGAGGAGGGCATTTCTGCGCATGTGAGTGTGGTCGAGAGACAGCACCGCGATGAGGCGGCGGGAATTCGTATCGGCGGCATCCCGTGAGCTGGTAGCTGGCTGTGTGTGCTGAATACACTACAACGGCGGCGTGGATATTGCTTAGAGCCGCGAATATGAGTCTGGTCAGTCAAGTCGACGCCGAATTGATTATGAGCATTGGATATGTGGAAGCTTCGAAGACATGCGGCGGCATGAACCAGCCAGTGACTGAGTTGAGCGACTGAGTTGAGTGACTGAAATGCAATTGTGAAGATTTCTTATCGTGCGGTTTATCAAGCCTCGATTTATGGATAGGTTGCCTAATGCGATAATTGCTTATTATGCAAATTTCCATTCTTCCATCCCTCCATCTTTTTTATCAATCTCATGTGACACCGCTCCACGTTCGTGATGTTCCTATCTCTCCCTTATCAGTTATCGCGGGATTCACCGCCTGTAGCCAGAAACCCGGCCAGAATACATGTAACATAGAACTTACATACATCCTACACTTCCAACATCGAAACAACTTTACGCCCACGATGCTGCCCCCAATAGACGAAGCAGTCCTCAAGAACAACCCCGACTTTGAGCGTCTCTACAACACCGTTACCGGGTCGCTTCTCAATGTTGACGGGTCGACCAAGAGCAACGATCCAGCAGCGAAGAAACGCGATGCCGTACGCGATGTAAGCTATATAAGGACTCATATACTAATCCAGTGGTCAATTGACTAACAGGTGGGGGTAGGAACTTAGGGCACACCGTCTCAAGGCGACAAAACAACACCTCATCCGATGCGCAATAGCAGCAGCAGCCACTCCTGAGGCGAGCACGAGCAGCCTGGCTCCGTCCAAGCAGCAGCAACAACAAAACCAACAACCGTCGCAACCTAGACGAACGAGATCAATGCAGCAGAACCAACAGTCAAGGACCTCCGTCTCAGCTTTGCCCCCCGAGATCCTCGACCTGCTGCTCCTGCTCCCGCCCTTCCTCTCCAACGCTAGGAGCATGTCCAACTCCTCGACAGCTCTCCTACTCTCGCGCCCGCCCTTCTCCGAATTAAACAGCCTATTCCCAACCCTCACAGCGACCCTCTCTACCACTCTATCCCAACAAGCCAAGTCCCTAGCCCGCGTGCTCAACCCGCACACCAACCCATCCTACATCCACCGGTCCATCCCGACTCTCGCATCCACAACCGCCGCCCTTCAAGCCAGCGTATCCAGCTCCTCCAA